GTGGATAAAAATGCCAAATCCAGTCTAAACATCTGGCTGACTGTGCAACCAATAATAATAATGGTACAGCAATAGCTCCATGAGCACCTAGATGGAAGTGTTCAATGTATTGCAGAGTTCCATTGGAGGGCCAGTGCTATTTGGCATATTTATAAATGACCTGGATGATGAATTCGAAAATGTGATTATTAAATTTGCAGATGATATAAAGATAGTAAGGATAGCAAACACCCTAGAGGATTATATCAAGATTAAGGAGGATTGTGGCAACCCAGTACAATGGGAGGAACCAGCAAGGTGACTTGCAATGTGAACAAATGCAAAGGCCTACATTTGGATAGAAAAATGTCAGTGACAGGATTGGAGTAGGGAGGAACCATACTGGAGTAGCGAATTCCTGTCCTGGGAATAGATATCTAACATTCCTTTCAACCCCTATATTCTATGATATAATTGTAGTTTTAACCATTTTGTTTTCAAGAGGATATTTGCAAGAACAAGCAATCTTGCTTAAATAGCAAGGTCCGACTACAAGGTAATCAGTATCCTGATTATGAGTTCCTCCTACTTTCTCCAGATAGGAACAGATAGCAGACCCACCAATTTTCTGCTGCTGCAACCTTTTCCCCTAGGAGTTGATGGTTGTCTGGGATTATAAATTCTAATACTTATAGTGGGAAATGATTGTATTTTCATCAATGGAAAGTCTTCCCAGCACAGTGAAACATATTTTTAAACCTTTAGAACTGTTTTGTCAAAATAAGTCTAGATCTTGCAAATTTAATAGAACATTTTATTAATGTTTTCTAATTGAGGATTCTTACTATATTGGGTACTTTTGTTAATTATCAACCATTGACCCAATTTCAGTAACAGTTAAAATTACTTTTTATGTAATATTAATCTAACGTTGACAGTGAAGATATCAAAGTAGTGGATGGCTCCAGCCTTTCAGATCAACTATCAGCAGTAAAGGAACAAGGAGTCAAGAAATATGCTGCAGACTAGAACTTGGCAGAGCAACCATGAAGGCCTTGGAAAAGATATTCAAATGGTGTAATGTGTCTACACCTACAAAGATCAGAATAGTGCAAGCCATGGCATTCCCTGTGACACTCTATGGAAGCAAAAGTTGAAGTTTGAAGAAGCAGGATAGGAAGAGTATTAATACTTTTGAACTTTGGTGTTGGAGAAAACTCCTGAGAATATTGTGGACAGGCAAGAAAACAAACAAATGGATCATTGAACAAATCAACCCATAATTCTCACTTGAAGCACAAATGACTAGGCTCAAATTATCCTATTTCGAACACATTATGTGAAGACCTAGCTCTCTGGAGAAGGCTGTAATGCTTGGAAAGATGGAAGGAAAAAGAGGAAGAAGATGACCAGCAACAAGATGGATAGACTCACTTACAGTAGCAATGTGTGCACTATTGAAAGACCTGAAAGACCAGGTTAGGGACAGGTCATCATGGAGAAAATCTATCTATGTGGTTGCTAAGAGTTGACTTGATGGCATGTAATTAATCAATCAATCAATCTAATGCTATTTTGAAAATTCTTGTTCAGTTTTACACTGTATGTAAATATCTTTTTATTTCTTTTTGATTGTGCTGTTAAATCTCTGTTACAATAAAAAGTAAGGAAAAAAATAGGTATAATAGCATCATTGTCCAACTGAGTTCTGGAAATTGTAGCTTCAATTCATTTATTGGCAGGATAGATAGATACTTCTCTGAGAGCTTTAAATTCCATACTTCTTTTTACTATCCTTTCCAGAAATGAATTTCACGGACCAAAACAAGGAAGAGGGGTTTTCCTTATGGAAACTCATGCATCCTTAACACAGGATGTGTGTTGTACGTTAAAAGAACATTTATTTAGATATTCTAGAGCGGTGTTTCTCCACCTCAGCAATTTTAAGATGTGTGAACTTCAACTCCCAGAATTCTGGCTGGGGAATTCTGGGAGTTGAAGTCCAACATCTTAAAATTTCTGAAACACTGCTCTATACCAGTCTTTCCCAGTGTCTTCCTCTACACCCTGGGTTAGAATTATAGGAGTTGTAGCTGGTTTATATCAATGACTAAAATTAACGTTGTGTAAATGGCTTTTGAAAAGTAAATTGCAAATGTAGATTGATAATCTTGGGTTAGAGTAGAAGGGGCTTTAATCTCTTGTTGATACAGTGCTTCTAATTCAGATCGGGGTTCCCACTGTTGCAATTTGGTGTGTGTGGTGTTATGAGGGAACTTCCACTGGAGCAAATGGGAACTCTATTTTCAATGGAATCAGCAAATACTGAAGATTCAGACTGAAACTATAGTGGGTGGTGCAAAAGACTAAATATGTCTTCTCCCCATGCCATGATCTTTGTCTAGAGTAGAACCATACCTGCAAGGAAAAGGAGAAGGGAAAAGGGGAGCGAAGGAGAAGGAGAAGGAAGAAAAGGAGAAGAAGCTGTTTGCACAATTAGTAATTGTGCACATATTGTTTCCAATTTGAAGATATTATCCTTGAACTAAACAGATGCAATATTCCTGATGTACTTAAAGAACGTTGATTCAATTTATTAGCTCCCAATTTCATTAATCTTGTATTATCTCACTTTGGATAGTGTATGTATTTTGTTTCCAGTGCTTTGAGAAATATTTCTTATCAAAGTGCTCCACCTGCTGGATATTGTTTGTAATTAACATTGTATCTTTAAGAAATTATATGTAAGATGTCCATACATTGCTAAAAGTGAATTAGAGTGCCCTCTAGACGTGTTGTTCCAGAACTCCATATTCACTAGCTACATAGCTTAGATATGATTCTTTTTAAACAGATTTTTATGGATTGAAATTTAGAATAAATCAAATAAATAAATAGACAATCAAATATTAAAATAAAAATAAGATTTTTTCCCCCTTTCCTTGATCCACCAAACTGAAGTCCAAAAAGGAATAGGAATAGGACATGAGGTTTGAATCCCACCACTATAATTCATGTCACTGTAAGTAGACAATACTATATTCTTTCTAAGATGTAACTTTCTCATTGGATCAGTGGGATCTCATCTTCAAGGAAATACAAGACCTAGTTTCTCTATTCATTACTCACAATGAAAAGAAAACACCCCGAATGATGGAATGTGAAAGATGCAGCAGTGAAAAAGATACAGAGTCATTTATATGTTTGGAATACATTCTTGTGTGGCTTTTGATAATGTCAACTACGGTATCTTTCTGGGTCACATTAGGAAGTTGGGGCCGAAGCTTTGTTATGGTTCTGCTCCTAATGTAATGGCAGGTCCCAGATGATAATCTTGGAGGATTACTGCTCTATGATGGAGACTTTGGATTGCAAAATGCCACAGAGTTTAATTGTGTCCCCATGCTCTTTAACATCTCTGTGTCAAGGTCCAAGAGTACAAGGCTTCTGCCTACTTTGTTCTCTGGAAGCAAGAATTAGATCTGTCAGAAGATACGCAAAACTGCGTTGAATGTAGAGGGAATGGATTACCAAAGAAGTACATTTTGTAAAACAAGAAGCCCTATGGTTAAGACTGAATGAATGATGAATGAATGTGGATTGCATACTGGAAGATACATGTTGTGGCAGTTTGGTCGTACTGACAGAATGAATGAAGACTGAGTCACAAAGAAACGTATGAAGAAAGAATAAGTGGAGAGAAAGGGAAAGTGGAGAAAGCCAGGATTGGGTGGAGTTCATGTGGTTGTCAAAAATTAAAAGGTGAGATTTTAAGAACAAAAGACAATATACGAACTGGTGTATGGACACAGTGAAAATAGTTTGCAGACAGAAAGTTATGGAGAGGTATAGTTAATAGTGTTGGTGTAAACTAAATTTAGTTAAATTTCTTTTCCTTTGATTACCTCCCTCCATTTCTTTTGCTAACTCTTACTCTTTTTCTGCACTTTGCATAACATTGCCTATCCCCAAAGGGAATAGCATAATTAATATGTATGCATGTATATAAGAAAGAAAGCTTTCTTCTAACCTTGAAAACTAACAACTTGTACATATATTCAAGCCAATCTGAATTAAGTTTGTAACATTGTATTTGCTGTTGAGTGCAACAACAAAAAGAACAACACTGATTTGGTATAACATTGGTTTTATTAAAGCAATATAGTTTTTAAAACAGCGGATAGATATATTGAAATCCTCAGCTGTATGATGGAGTCTGTGGTAGGTTAATTCATTTAATAAGCAACCTAGGCTTTTAAGTGAAACTTCAGTAAATACATTTATCCCAGCAGTATCTCAGCATAAATATAGGAAATTGCTTAACAGTGATCTTTGATCTAACATAGTATTGCCTACTCTTACAAACAGATTTTTTTTTTTAGATATTAGAGTCCCCCCCCCAATACTGTTTAAGTTGGATATGATAGACAATGAAAGTGGGGCATTCTGAGCTTGAGATAATCTCATTTTGTACTGAAATGCCCTATATAATTTTAATGAGTATTATGGGAAGTTTCTGTACATGTAAACACTGAGCGCATGCTAAAATTTCATCTGTATTAAACAAAACTTGATCTTTAGGAGCGCCTGTTCTAAAGAAATGTTTATGCTTTTTGTACAGTCTTATATATTCTAAGGTTCTATTTGATACAGTTATTAATGTATCTCTACATTAAATCTCATAAAACTCTTGCATTACAGACAATAATTTTGCACGTCTTACCTTTTTGTTTCTGTAATAATACAGGCAACCGTCATGCTTTAATACAAACCACCTCTTTCTCCAGCCCTTCAGGATTCCAGAGCGGGTCCGTTTGTGGAGGTATCCTCGACACGTTGGACGAGGGATGTTGGGGCAACGACTAATATCAGAGCCCACCAATAAGTTCAAAATATCAGGACCTAAAAATATTTTATTATGTAATAGCAGATCAAAACCAAGCTAACTCTTCTACTCCACATAATAGAAGTAATAAAACAGAAGATGTGTTCTAAATGTTTTCTCCTTGATGTTGAGGAAATATCTTGTCAAAACAGACGTACTGAAGTCTATTCCTATAAAAATTATAATTGCTTTTGAAAAATCTTATATTTATAAGAAAAATGGCTACCTGCGAACCTACTGGCGCTGATATCTTATACATGGCAAGCCACTAGTCACTGAAAATGTATAGAGAACCACACAATATGAAACAATTGAAACTAGCTTAGCTAGTGACACCTATAACATTCACTATAATGAGACAACAGACCAAGACTGTTACTAGAAAACTTCATATTTCTCTGTTCTTGTCCTTCAACCTTTTATTGCTGTTGTTGCATTATTTATATTAATGTTTCCTATAGATCCAACCTAAATATTGTGCCTCGAAGCATTCCTAGCTGGGCAATGAAACATTTGCAAGAAAACAACCAAGCTCAGAGAACCGCAAGGACTCCACAGTTGGAATCATTCTGTATGGTTCTTCTCTAATGACGGCAGCAACCCTGAACTCTGGGTAATAGAAATTATGCAAGATGATACTAAATATGAATGTACATTCATTGAACAATAAAGAAAGAAAACATTCACATTTAACACAGATTTAAGAAATAAAAATTACAACAAATCTCAATTACCTACCTCTGATTTCCCCCCCCCCAGTGACTCATTTATATATATTTTCTTTCATAAAATGAAAAAACAAACAAACAAACAAAAACCCCTACCCTGAATGCAAGAAAATTTCAACTGGAAATGTTGAAATATCTCCAGTCAGACTTTTCATGCATGTACTCTTTCCTCCATCTAAATCACTGACTTGTGAAAAAGGTAAAAAACCAAATGAAACTGCAAACAACAAAATGCTATTGAAAGTATTATAGAATACATTTAGAAAGTCCTTACTAAGGTAGGGAAAAAACATGAACAGATTGAGGGCTTATGTGGCATAGAGTCCTCATTGATTCACATACCATTCATAGTCTCTACTAACTGATAATCTGGCCCCCGTATGAAGGTGCCACTGTATTGAAGTACAGTGTGTGTACAGAACTCTTGTACAATGAAGGATTCCTCATGCATGGAAGGAATCAATAAATGAGCATCACTAGTAGTTGTGGAGTCCTTGGTGTTCTCTGAGCTTGGCTGTTTGCTTGCAGACATTTCATTAGCTGACTACGTAACTAGGTTGCTCTGCCAGAGTTGGTGGGGGTCTGGTTTTCTCCTTGCAAGCTACTGTATACAGTATAAACATGACAAGCTACTGTATATAAACAAGGAGTAAACCCCACACTCACTAGCACTGATGTTGTTACCTAGTTGGGTAATGAAACATCTGTAAGCAAACAACCAAGCTCAGAGACCACCAAGGACTTTACAGTTGAACCCTGAGCTACAGATATTCTCTTACTTAGTAATTGTTGTTCAGGCTACATTCCCTCTGAGATAATTTTTTGGTGTGAGTTTGACTTACAGAAAGGGGAGGAGAATGCTGAACCATTACAGAAAAGCTGCTGAATCCTGGGAAATTGTGACAAAGAAGCTCAAAACAACTCTGCCTTGACTGGCTCAGGTATGTTAAAGTAGAGAGGTAGAGACTGTGTTAGGTACATGTTGAGGTAGAGAGGGGCTTTGACAGGATTTCAAAATTCTGGAACAGTACCTTGACTGCATGAAAGACTCCTGCAACCTTGTCTAACATGAAGGGCTGACAACTGGAGACTATCAGGTGGTTGGAGAGGAGGCAAGGAGTGGAGACAAATAAGAGCTAGCAGCAGGTATTTGACATCCCCTTTCCCTTTCTGACATAAAGGTATCCATGGGGGGAGATCAAAGAAATCAAGATGGTAACCATACTTGTAACTGAAGCCACCATCTTTATTTTTTTCATCTGGTGGACACACTCTTTGCTTTCCCTCCCAAGGCTGAAAGGACAGGGCAGTCAGTTCTTCCCAGATATCAAAACTGACTTCTTGCATAGTGCTTTTGAAATTATGTTGTTAAGCCAGGTAGAATTAGGCACCCATTCAATATAAATTATAATTACTACAATTAAAAGTGCCCATATACAGTATGTGTTAACATTTACATTTCCCCTCTCAGATTTGTGTCCTTTGCTTTTTTTATTCCAAATATACCTCTCTTCCTCCTCTTTTTGATTGATGTTATCTGCTATATTCCCTAAGTGCTTTATTTGAGTTGGTATCTCTAATAAATTTATTTACAAGATCAGAAAGGAGGAAAATGCAGTGTATTGTTGCCTGACTGAATGGCATGTTTGGTTAAAGGTTGGCTTTGGTTAGGAAAGGACCTTTAGTGGGTAATGGAGCTAGTAATCTAATGTTACTGCAAACAGAAATATTTACTTTTATATTCAATTATTTATATGGAACATTATTTTGCTGGACTTGTCCAACAGCATGTGGCAGAAAGTGAAAAATATTGGACAGTGGGCCAAGCATTTGAAGGAGTGCTTCACAAAGTGAGTTGGCATGACTGAAGCCCCCCTCCCCCAAAATTGAGGTAGTTTCATCTTGTATGTGGCTGCTTTGAGGGGTTTTCCATGTCAACTCCTAGAAATATCTGCACAGCTAGATATTTCATTTTGCCAGCATTTTCAGTAGAAGAGTTGTCTGCCCAAGTACAAGTGTGTGCTGACAGCCTGGGAAGAATCTTCAAACTAGCTATGCGGAACCTTCCAGAAGATCCAGCTGTTGGATGTGTGACACACAGCTGCTTTAGTACTTCACACATTTTATGAAGGGCCCCCTTGAATATTTTGCACAGCCTAATAGATATTTTTAATACAAAACATTAATGCCCCAATTAAAAAAATGGTAATTGCTGTACATGTTTGAATATTTCTAAGAGCTTCTCTAAATATACTTTGGGTGTTCTGTGATTGTCATGTGGAAATTATTCTTTTAAACAGAATCCCACCATGTCCACAGTTTGTGTGTGTGTGTGTGTGTGGCCTAACCAAAACAGCATTGCGCTGTCACAATGCACACACAGAGCTTCCGGCCAAATGCTGCTTTCGTCATTCTGATAAAAGGAGCAGAACCCTGAGGACGGCCTTAACAGAATCTCAGAGTTTTTATTTAAAATGATTTCTGAATAAAAATGTATTCTTTTATTGAAAAAAACTCCTAAGATTTCTTTATCTTTCAGGTTTGGGGAACAAGAGCAGGGAATTCTCAAACCTTCTCTTAATAAATAGAGAAGGAATTTTAGTTTTTCTAATGAAATGGTGTGAATTCCATCTCTACAATTTAAAAAATTGGTATATACTAAAATAAATTTGTCAGTATCATGAGAAATCAGTTGTATTTGTTAAACATTTTTTATCTCTGTCAAAACAGTGTTACTGAGAAGTTAATACCCCATGGGTATAATTAGCCCTTACTCAAGAATACAATTTGACATTTAAATATACCTCCTAAAAGAAAATCCATATTAATATGAATGTTATTGTGCTTCTACTGGTGAAAAGAGCCCTTTTTTCTTAATATCATAAAAAGTTTCTTATACCAAGAGCTAATGCATTAATTCAGCCAACAATGAATTTTCCTCCTGACAAAATACTAGACATAAACATTGGATTGATGTCTTGGACACCCTTGTCAAGACTCATCAATCTTTGAGTCATGGGCCTCAAGAGCAATATTGCTAAATGTGCTCTTTCTGTCTGACATTTGGCCTAGATTTAAGTGATACTCTAGGAAGGTAACAATAGCCATCACTGGCACATACAGAAAAATAGGTTGTTGGGTTTTTAAAAAATCTAATTCAAGTTTTCCTCTTGGATCACTACCACCATATTATCACAACAGTCTCCATGTATCTATACCTGTCCTAATTGTCAAAGTCAACTTTTTCAGTGTGGCAGAATGATAACATTCAAAGATAATTTTGTTCTCTCAAGATATATATATATCTACAGTGTCTGTGTGTCTGTCTGTGTGTGTCTGTATGTATGTATGTATGTGTGTGTGTGTGTGTGTATATATATATATATATATATATATATCAGTTTCAACTTCCCTGACAATAGAAATGGCAATTGATCTTCTCTAAACTCTCTTTCGTATGTTCTTCCTCTGTTGCAATTTTGGGGGGCGGGGGGGGGGGGGAACCAAAGAAGGAAAGGTTAATGGACTGCTGAGTAAAGTTACATGTGTTTAAATACTTAAGGCAATGATATATGTCAAAAATATGTTTGGTAGGGCTATCCGAAGTTTGGGGATTTGATTCAGATGCATTGAAACTGATTTTTCCCTTTATTTGAAAATAACTGTATTGAATAGCACTGAATTAACAGTTCAACCAAGGATTGTTGAGGAGGATAAGATTGTTGAATAGGATAAGAGCCAATCTACATATCCCTGATCTTCCTGTGTTTCTATGGAAAATATACCTTTCCATTATGAATACCACCATATCTCTCTTAGCTAGAAGCCTAAGAAAGCTGCTTGCGTCATTAACTGCATTCTCTGTTGAACAGAGCAACTTGGCTTGTCTACGGACACTTCCTATTTTTACTGTATCCTAAAATGGTAAGAACTCTGAAAATGGTCTCCTAAGCACTATTTAAAAATGCAGAAACACATGCTGCTGTAATAATTTGATTGGCTATTTGTGACTTTTGGCTGAGAACTAAGAGCAGGATGCTGCTATGTGCTGTGCGAAAGAACCACTAGAGGAACCATATTTTTGGCAAGCATGGAACTGATCCACGAATAAGGAATTGCTAGAAAGTGTGTGGTCGGAGAATGCGGATAGGACAGAAATCTTAGAAAAGTAGCAAACCAAAAATGACGCGATGGGACTTTATTCACTATTGTAAGAATTAGAGCTTGAAGGCACAGAGTGGAAAGAGGCATGAATGCAATTTCTTCATGGTATTTCATTGAGGATATAAAAGGGTTAAGGAAAGAATTTTGTGTTGAATTGAAGGCGGCTGCCTATATCAGATGTGATTAGTCATATTGTACATAGTAAGAAAAAAGTGTCTTAGGATGTAACTTAATATTTACTGTACTTTGATCTTGCTGAGGAGATGCCTGCCCAATATTTATTATTTGTGCTGGTATTTGTGGCTGAATTAGCTGCAAAGTAAAATTCCTTCTTCCTTTTCTCCCTTTTTCCTGTGTTTGCAAAGTGTGCATTTTTTTTCATTGATGAGAAGATTATGCACCAAATTGGAGTAAGCACAGTCAGAGCTAAACCAGGGACTTTTCTTCTTGACTGTGATCCCTTCACTGGGTATGTAATGGGTAGCACAGGGTCCACCTGCTAATGCCCCATCATTTCAGCCCTTGATTTGGCTTTGCATTTCTACTTTTCACTATCAAAATAGCATTCATCAGGCTATGTCTTAAACTTAAAAAAAAAGAAAAGAAAAAACTTCCTCAGGATTGTGGTCTCCTGAAATATGGCATGAAAGGTTTAATGTTGGGCAAGGCTGTTTAAAATGAATGAGACTTTTTAACTCTGGCTGCAGGTACTGTTCCTTGTTTAAATTTGCATAAACCCAACATCTTTTATTGTTGTGGGTGTCCACATTTATGCTGTGGCATGCCTGCTTTATTTTAGCAGTGTCAGATTAAGAAAAGTCTAACACAATTTTTTTCTTAAACTGACACTGCTAAAATGAAATGAAATGAAATGGAATAAAGAGAAAAGAAAATTAACACCATTTAGACACCCAATTTGGTGTAGTGGTTAAGGCATTAGCCTAGAAACTGGGAGACTGTGAGTTCTAGTCCTGCCTAGGCACAAAGCCAGCTGGGTGACCTTGGGCCAGTCAGTCTCTCTTAGCTCTAGGAAGGAGGCAATGTCAAACCACTTCCGAAAAACCTTGCCAAGAAAACTGCAAGGACTTGTCCAGGCAGTCTCCAAGAATCAAACATGATTGAATGGATAAAAACAAAACAAAACAAAACAAAACACCATTTACAAATCATCTGTTAAAAGCTCATATCTTTGAGGAGAGTTACCTTTTCTTACTAGATTTGCTGCCTCTGAATGAGGCATGCTGGTGACATCTGTGCCATTGACAGCCATCACAATGTCTCCAATCTGGAGGCCTGCCTCTTCTGCTGCGCTGTCTGCCACAGAATGGAAAAATATTTGGATAATATCTGCACAAAGGAGACAGCTTCATCCACTTTATATGCATCAATGCAATCCACTTCCTCAGAAGTTGGAAAAGTCATTTTCCCTACAGATTTCCAAGATTTTCCCTTGCTTTGCAGGATATAGCAGAGATCATCCAAGTTGAGCTTTTCTAGGCATCCAGTTTATGCAGACTGCTGTCTGTTGTTCTCTGCTTAAGGCAGATTAAAATAGACTAAATGAAAAGGTGGAGGGGATTCAGATTCTCCCCACTCTTTTCTATTAGGTTAAACTCACAGGCAATTTAACCTGAACAGAATCCACTTGATTTTTAAGTGCATGAAATCATTACACGATGACATCATGGAATATCTGGCAAGGCAGATGCCTGGAATATGGACAATGGACCTCTGGCTCCATAGGACAATTCTGTTTTCATATTATGCCATAATGGACAATTATTCATGTACAAGCAATAGTAGAAGAAAAAGACTGGGTAGAGAGGGGTTTACTTTTTCTGGGGGTAATTCTTGAATTTCCCTAGTATTCCTCAGTTTCTCTCCTCACCAAACTCCAAATCCCAACCTATGGCAAGCCACAAAGCAAAGCCCCAAGCTCTAGCATCATCTCTATTTACAGAAATCCCTCTGCATCCCATAGACATACTTAGAGCACAAAGTGATGAATGGCTGTGGCACAGTGCTTCGTTAGGAAATGTGCCCACCTGCCCAGAAATACCAGGTGACCTGAATTAATAAAAAGCCTCCTGGTGACTCTGCTGTCTTTTGGATGGCAGTCATTTCATGGACCAGCACGAATGGCAACAATACAACACAGAATAAAAACCTTGGTTTTCAGGCTGGAACGCCACAGATCTTGGAGATGGGACAGTCAGCTTTGCAAACTGTCTTGGGGCCACAATACCCTTATAGCCCTCCCTAGAGTGGCAGCATTTTTTGTTTTTGTTTTTTCACTTGCTGTGAAATTGAACACAAGAAATAATGATGAGGATAGAAAGGTGAAGCTCTGACTGCATGTTTTTGTAGTTTCCTGTACTGGTCAGACTGAGGGAGCTGGATAGCTCATGAGAGGGCAGATACGCACAGAGTGGCTAGAATACACATTTCTGAGGACACAGAGGCCAGGGGGACCTGATGGCTCTGTGGAAGGGCCCAGATATGTCTTCAGGAGCTCAAGGCAGCATACATAGCTCTCCCTTCTCCAAGTATTCCCTATAATAAACTGGACTAAGACCCTAATAGAACTGTTGTTGTCCCTACAATAACAGTGCTATGAGGTAAGCCGGACTGAGAGTCACCAAGTCACCAAGTGAGCTTCAATGGCTGAGGGTGGATTTGAACCTGGGTTTCTCCAGTCTTAGTCCAATACCTTAACCCCTATACCACCCCGGGTCTAGTATGCATTCTCAGAGAGCTAAACAAATATCAGAAGAATGGAGAGCCTGAAAATAATGATTAGGGAAAGCACTTGTTAGTGGGATTTGAAATCATAAAGAAGTATGGCTGATCCCAAAGTGCTACGTTATCCTCCTCTGGACTATTATCAGCAGCTAAAAACTGCATGTATATGTATATCTAAGGTATAGATGTATGTAACCTGCTTTTACGTAAAGACAGGTTAGGAACAGAAAACAACGTCCATAAGCAGAAAATATGTTCAGTTAAGGTCCGTTAATTCACAGTGATTTGAATCCTTCCTCTATACATCTTGGAATAATGTTCTTCCACTGTATCTCTTTGCAGCATACAATTACATGTCATAATGTATTCTGAAGTACTATCAAACATACACCCAGTTCCTTGATTAATACAAATAATTTAATTTTTTGGGTACTCCATGATGTAGAAAGTGCATCTGAACAGTATAAAGCTCTTTTCTGAAGGAAAAGCAGATGCTAGCAAGGAAATGACAGGCACAGGAGTTCTGGGAGCTTCTGCTCTTTTCATAAAAGCTCATCAAATAATATATCTTACATCTGACTGATACATCCAGAAATGTGACATTACATTTCCAAAGCCATTTCAATATTTTTAAGGTTGTGTGTGTGTGTGTGTGTGTGTGTGTGTGTTTTGTAACTTTTATTATTATTACCATCTCCATTTGCTGCAGTTTGGAGAAAAGAAGCCGATTTGATGGAACTGGCTCATGGTTTATTCATTTTCCTGCCATTTAGAAAGTTTAAAAAATGCCAAAAGGAATTTCAAAGGAAGTATGTTATACTTCTGAACTTCTCTGGGTTTTACACGTGAAAGACTTTTGAAACTCCTCGACCCTAAAACTCTTATAGCCCACAGAAAATTCTTTACGCAACACATTTCAGATGTGTGTGTGGATAATTCAAGGTAAATACCAATACCATAATCAGGAACTGGATTTCAGATAGCAAGCTCAGATATAGTATTCTAGAGAATTGTAGGTGCACTCAAATGCAATGCTAAAGCAAAAATGAGATACCTGGACTACAACCCATGTAGAACCATCTCAAAACATCTGGAAAGTACTAGATTGCTTATCTGTGCTGTAAAACATGAGTCTCTAGCATGCTCCCTTCCCTTCATGCATAGCAATTAAAAATATCTATTCTTGGTTTAGCAGCAAATCAAACTTAATTCAGCTGAACCTCTAGAAGCAATGATTTCTACAAAGGTAATTTCCACACATCATATAAATGCAAACAAGGGCGACTGGTGGCTTGAAATCAGGATTGGTGGGCAAACTACAGTGCACACAACCTGCATTTAATGGACTTAAGATGGTTAATTGAGGTTCCGCTTTCAGTAAGTCAGAAATGGAAGTTTTTAAAAGCATGTGGGGAAGGATAGGGGAAGAAAGCACACATGACTCTGAAACATATATGCCCAATATTAAATATTTCCAAAAGAAATACATGTCAGGGTGGCAGGTATTCAACTAATCATTTGCTCTGTCAAATTAAATTATCACAAGAACAGGTGTTAAAAAATGATCTTATTCAAAAAACAGAGAGACAAAAATACAAGCAATCCACTTTTTCTTTTCTAACTGCCAAGGCGCACTGACCTTTTTTGTCATTATCATCATCTCTTCTTAGCAGAGTATAAAGCAGAGCAGAGGGGAAGTAATTGCTTCAGGCAACAGCTGACCCTTTTAGTTTGATTAAATGAAACTCGGAATCAAGGAAGATTCTTCATCCATAAGTGAATGGCAAAAGAGAAGAAATCTGTTTCCGTAAGCATTTTTATTACAATGGTAGGTCTAGTTGCAAGAGTAACCCCAGAATTTTCTTCCATATTATAGAAATATAATAGAATTCGGAAAAATATACTTCACTGTCATCACAATAAAAAGAAGTCAAGAGAATTGTTGAACTACCTGCTACCTGTGTATTGTCGAAGGCTTTCACGGCTGGCATACGATGGCTGGTGTGGGTCTTCCGGGCTGTGTGGCCGTGGTCTTGAAGTCTTGTTTCCTAACGTT